TGGAGTAGCACAGAACGGCTGCCCTTGGACTCCTCCCTTACCAACAGCGCCCCCTGTCTTTACCCCTGTCAGTTTATAACTGTCCTAATAAACCACAGGAGCGGCCGAGAGAAGAGCAGAAAAATCGTTTTAATCGGTAGCAACAGGGCTCAGCCGGGTCTCGCCAATCCCACCCCCTTCCCAGAACTCTATTCCGAGCCCCCGGGGCTGAAGGGACTCGGTTTCTGGGGCAGCCTGGCCTCGCTGCCAGCTTCCGGGGCCTCGGTCTCTGCGTCTGCGGGGGCGCGAGGCGGAGACCGGCTGGAGCGAGCCCCGGGCGTCTCTGAAGCGGAGAGGAGAGAGGGAAACGGGTCGGGGCTCTTCCCACGCTCGAGGGCTTCGGAAGCTGGAGTGGCAGGTGGACTCCCTGGGAGTTTTCCTGGACCCACCGAGCCCAGAGCAGTGTCCGGCTGTATCAGCAGGACTAGCTGGACAGGTGAGGCCCGGGTCCAGGGCAGGACCCCCGATTCAGGGCCACATACAAGACTAGACGGGGTTCTCCAGGATCAGGCCTGGGGACCCCTGATTCAGGGTGACCTGTGGACTAATTGGACTGCACTGCTGTTTTTCTGGAGGTGATCCTTAAAACAGACTTAAACCTGCCTGAAGACGGGTGATTGGCTATCGACCGAGTGTCTCAGCAGTGCGACGCCACGTTTAACAGTGCGGAACAGTGTCCGTGGTCAGGGTTAGACGCACCGCTTGTTTTAAAATGCAAAAATGATTTGTTTTTAATGCCAATAAACAAATATTTGACACGGCCCCCTTAAAAGCTTGCATCTCCAAACGCTTTCCATTGAAGGGAGAGAAAAAAACATTTCCCAGAGAAACAATTACAGCAGTGTGGATGAGAGAAGCGTGCTGCAAAAAAACGGACATTTGGGATCAGCGCAGGGCTGGTCAAGGTGAGGACCAGTGCAGGCAAGCTACGATTCCCCAAAATGCCCTTAAGAAACTTCAGCGGACTGCCCTGGGAATTGTAAGCAGCTGCGATGCGATACCGGAGCGCGGGTTCCAGCCGCCTGGACTGGCTGCAGGACGTCCCGTCCGATTCTCTCAGTCTGGAGCGGGGTCAGACTGAGGAGCGCGCTCGGCAGCCAGGGCCCTGCCAGTCCGACACATGCGGGTGCCTGGTTATTCTGGAGAGAGACGGGGACGTTCTCCACCTCCATCGCAGGCGCCTCTCTCCCGAAAGACTCCCCCCTTCCCCACACATCTGCACACGTG